GTGTGTGTGTGTGTGTGTGTGTGTGTGTGTGTGTGTGTGTGTGTGTGTGTGTGTGCGAGCGTGCATGCAGTGGAAGCTGGCTCAACACATCGGATGATAGGAGGGGTTACCATGGAAACCCTCCATCCAGGAACAGTTTGGAAGAAGCAGTCTGGGTGGGCTGGTTTTTACTAAATAAATGGTGCTGTTTGACCCAAGGGCGTGAGAAGCCTTTTAAAAGTGTGTGTGTGTGTGTGTGTGTGTGTGTGTCTGTGTGTCTGTGTGTGTGTACTTGTTTTTGTTACCTGTTTAGGACCGTCAAGACCAGTAGTCCTAATGGGGACCAAAGGCCGGTCCTAATATGGTGGAACTCCATTTTTGTGTCAGGGGTTGGGCTTAGAACCAAGGTGTGAATTGAGTTTAGTTTAGTTTTAGGGTCAGGTAGGTACCTGTGAGGTTAGCCTTAGGGTTTGTGGTCAGGGTTAGGCGGTAGAAATTACTGGAAATGAATGGAAGTCAATGAATGATCCTAATAAGGATAGAAATACAAACCAGTGTGTGTGTGTGTCTGTGTGTGTGAGGATTTGCCTCAAACTTGTCAAGAAACATCTGGTACATTTTGAACATAAGTGGGAAAATTCATTGAAAACGTTGCTTTCAGATTTTTTTTTCCATATAAACACTGAGGTCATCTCCTTTAAAACGCCCACAGTGGTGCCTCCAGAAATGTATTTATGGGGGGCCATGTAGGGGATATTGAAAATCCAGGGGTGGCACACTAAAACTAAACAACAGTAATAGTAATAACAGAATTTCTGAAATTCTATCATGCTCTTGTTGTATTGTAATTTGAAATCAATGGCAGTTAAGAAGTTAAGGATTTGTATCAGTTTGCTATTTTAAAGGTATCTTTGGCTACGTTCACACTGCAGGTCTTAATGCTCAATTCTGATTTTTTGAAAAATCTGATCTTTTTGTGTGAACGTTCACATTACATTTTAAATGTGACCTGTATCAGACCCCTGTGTGAACGCTACACAGCACTGATGTGACACGCATGCGCAGTAAAAGAAGTGACGTCTCATCAGCCGGCTTGTTTGTTTACAGAGCTAGCATGGATGCTACTTTCAGCATATCGAATCTGAAGTTGTTTAATCAGAGATGATTAAATAATTATCTGACCTGCTTGTTTAGTTCAGTGTTTATATCTGAACGTACCTCTGACCGGGATGCTCTGGTGAAGCTTTTTATTTTTGGAACGAAGCAACGAGCTGGAAATAAAGTATCGACTGAGTAACTTTAGAATCAATACAATCTGCAACCCAGGCTGGACGTTACTGCCTACATGGAAAATGAAAATTAAAAAGACAAACCAATGAGACTTCTGTTTGGAGCTGTAAACACATGGAGCTACAGATTTAAACAGCATGAAAAAAATGAAAAAAAAAAAAAAGATTAGTGTCTTATCGATCCTTCACCCACACCTCAGTGATGATGTCGGATGGATGTGACACGAGCGTTCACACTGCAGTCACTTTGAAAACATCAGATGTACTGTATATCCGATTTAAAACCACATACTGAAACGGCCTGGGCCAGATTTGAAAAAGTCAGATTTGTCGCGTTCAGACTGTCATTAAAAATCAGATAGGGGTCAGATGGGGCAAAAAAATTGGATTTGGGTCACATTTGCCTGCAGTGTGAACATAGCAATTACTAGCCTTTTTTCCATCAACATTTTTATGCACATTTTTGTATTATATATTATATTAGAAAAGGTGAATTGAAACGGCACAATTTAAAAAAATCTTCCTCTATTTTGCAAAAAAAAAAAAACTGATACGCACGCTTGAAG